ATTTTAAAATGCAACGGCGATCTGTGGCCTTCAAATATGTGGTAAACTGCCCGATTTACCAACATTTGAGTTATGATAAAAGAATTAAATTAACACGGTAAGGCATTTTAAGCAGTGGTATCGGTCATGGATTCGAATTTTTTTCGCAGCACAAAATCATCCTAGTATAGGGCAACTAAGATTCGACCCTATCTGCGTGTCCACACTCCCGTGTTATTGAACACACGTTAACAGAGTGTAACTCCGATCTTGACTCCTTCAGAGGTCAAAAAGCACACAATGTATTGAATGCCAATTGTTATATTGTAAAGTTGCACAATCGAATTGATCCAAATAACGAATTACACTTGAAACCTTAAAGCAAGGATATGTGATGAAACCAAATTTCTAACTAACAAAGAACGGCAAAGACAAGCTACACTGAGTGAGAGAAATATATCATAAAGGAAATGAATTGGGACAACGACCTTGTTTCAGGCAAATAACATGCACTACTAACAATAAGTGGTGAAAATATTAAAATACACAGTAACTATCCTTATGTACTTGCTACACAATTCCCCCCGACAATGAAAAAATTAGTTTGCTAATTTTTAAATTTTGTAAGACTAGCTAATAACGATTTCTGATTGAATAATATGTCGTAAAATTTGCCATGTATTGGTGTATTTAATTCTGCATCAAAGTCGCTGATGACCAACTAATGCAACGACACAGGAAAATCAATTTGATTGAGATACCTCCGGTTGAAGGATCTTTTGCGGTGAAATCTACAGATTTTCACGAAATCTTCGATAACACCCAGAACTAAGCCATTGCGTTTGGACAATCGACTTCTTTCTGTTTTGTAAAATAATGAGCGTAATAGTTGATTTGAAGAATAATGTTGACGTTAAAATTTCGTTCGTTGAAAACATTCCTCTAAGCTTTGAAAACTTGTCCAACTCTCGGATTTTTCAATCTGGAAAGATTGTCCGATGAATTGTAATGTAGCAAGAGTTCGGTAGCGCTGAATTTCGGAAAGTCGCGGGCCCTGCGAACTTTCGTATCTCCAACATTCCAAACAATTTGTGAAAGCGCCTTTGCGACGGAAACTCGTGTTCGGTTCACATTGACTTAGATGAGCTAGAGGTGAATGCAGTTTTCGTGTGATGTGATTGGAGTAAAAAGGACCCCTTAACGCGGGCCACGAGTATTCGATTTCGACTTGGTTTCCAATGATGCTGAAATAGATGATGATCGACTTGAAAGAATAAAGTAGATGTTCGTTCGTACGTTCGTCAAAGAATAGGTCGCTAAATGCTGCTTCTTGGTGTAAAAAATGGGCTTGCGTATAATATCAATGTATTTTCCGGCGTAGCTTGTTTTGTCGATAAACACATTTGAAAGTCCAGTAATAATATGAAGTTGTCCTGGTAACTTTAAATTGTAATGAGGCGGATTAATCTGCTGAAGTCCATATCTCCTGATCCGGTTGACACACAAACAATATAGTTGTAATATATAGGTTGATAATGAGACACAAATTCAAAGAATTTGGGCGTTGATGCTTGGAAAATAAAAATACACGAGCGTGAACTCGGGCGTTAAACTTGAAGAGTTGAAGTTGAGTTAGTGCTGTCTGATCGTAGGAGGTCCTGGTCCAGATTCCTCGTTTTGAGTCAAAAATCTACCTTGTTCTGGCCTTCTTGACTGCTTAATAAATTGACATACCGCCAAAGACTGCAGTTTGGTTGGTTGCTTGATTCCTGAAATGCTGACGTATTGTCCATTGACTCGGTTAGTGATGAATTTCTTTTCCATTTTGATTGACGAAATTCCAGTTGCTGAATTGAAGTTGATTGCTTATTGATCACGAACGGGTATCACCAAAATATAGGGCAACTAAGATTCGACCCTATCTGCGTGTCCACACTCCCGTGTTATTGAACACACGTTAACAGAGTGTAACTCCGATCTTGACTCCTTCAGAGATCAAAAAGCACACAATGTATTGAATGCCAATTGTTATATTGTAAAGTTGCACAATCGAATTGATCCAAAAACGAATTACACTTTAAACCTTAAAGCAAGTATATGTGATGAAACCAAATTTCTAACTAACAAAGAACGGCAAAGACAAGCTACACTGAGTGAGAGAAATATATCATAAAGGAAATGAATTGGGACAACGACCTTGTTTCAGGCAAATAACATGCACTACTAACAATAAGTGGTGAAAATATTAAAATACACAGTAACTATCCTTATGTACTTGCTACACTAGTAAAAAGTCCATACTTTTAAATACAAACCAATAGGAACCATTATCCAAATTAGTTCCCAAGAGCGGGATAAAATATAAACTTGTGACAATTTTTCGTGAGTACTAAAATAAGAATCAAAACTAATTATATTCGGCACAATATCACGACAATCTGTGGACATAAATTGTGTGGCAAACTCGCGATTAATATTAATTTTTGATTCCTATTTTCGTATTTACAAATTACAACGGCGATCTGTGGACTTAAAATGTGTGGTAAACTAGCCGATTATAAATAGTTTTTGATTCCTATTTTCATATTTATAAAATAATAAAAGTATTATTACTCAAACATACAACGGCGATCTGCGGACTTAAAATGTGTGGTAAAGTTCCCGAATATAATTAATTTTTGATTTGTATTTTTGTACTCACGAAAAAATTGTCGCAAGCCGGAAAAATACCTCATACTTTATCCCGCTTTTCGACAAATAATTTGGATAATGGTTGGTATTTAAAAGTATGGGCGTTTTACTAGGATGATTTTGTGTTGCGCAAATATTCAAATCCATCATTGATACCACTATTGTCGTATTAATTTATTTCTGTTAACATGACTCATGGTATATAAAATATATACTGCAATAATCTGCAAATATGAAATGCCTGGTAATATAGCTAGGTTGTAACTTGTAGATAGCAGTTATTCCATTAGGGGAAAGTGGGGAAGGTTGGGACACTTTTTTTCTTTTGCATATTTTGAGCCGTTAATTCTGCATATTCTCTTAAGTTTGCGGGACTAATGCATAGAGGGGTAAATGTAGTTTTTATTCAGCAACAAAGAAATTCCCTTGCGACACACATCTTACTACCAAAATGCTTTGAAAAACGTCTGTCAAGTGTCCCACTGTACCCCACTTGTGGGGCACAATCGGACAGACCCTGGGGCACAATGGGTCAGTCTGTCAAATGTTCAACTGAAATTGTTCAGATATTTTGACAAAACATTTTGCAAAAAAATTTGATTATTTCCTTCCTCGAATCTAAATCTGGAAATATTATTGATTCTCGAATATATTCCAAATTGGGCCATGGGTCGAAAGAAACCATTATATTACACAAGATATAACGCATCTCTAAGTCTCTAAGCACTTATTGTATCAAACACTGTCGAATTGTGCCCTGTAGAGCATGTCCCACTGAACCCCGGTCCATTGTTCCCCATAGGAAACAAATATTTCCAGACCATCCCACGGCAAAATTCGGAAGGCACAGCCACTCGCTAACGTTAGGAATATTTTACAGTGGACTGACGCCAAAGAATATCAGACGATGGTTTGTCTCGTTGGAAAGGCTAAACTAAAAAAAAGAAAAAACTGGAACGGTGAAATTTTTTTTTCAACCTTCCAAAACCAATTTCACCCCATAGCTTGCGCCGCTCTACCCGTCCGTTGTCCGTTCGCGGGGACGTTGTAACTCACCGAAGGGCGGATTGGAACATCGAGCCGCGGACAGGATTGCGGATATAGTATCAGTGTGATAGCTAATTTTCCACTGTGCCCCATGTCCCAACGTACCCCACCTTCCCCTACTTATTGTATGGAAATTCCTACATACATTTAGATAAGCTTCAATTAGTGGATTTTATTTTCGAAGTATTCGAAATTTCATATTCGAAAAAAATAATTTCGAATGAATTCGAAATAGTGAACTATTCGGTATCGGCCATCCCTGGGTCCATTACAGTTTCTTCTCTGCTTTATCCAAATTATTTCTTTTATAACAAGTATTCCTTCGTTTAGTATCCGCACATAGTTTTAGTATATATTTTTTTATAAACATATATTTACTTATAAAAAATCCAGCGATATATAAGCCCGACCCGAACGTAATGATTGTCATTTCAGGGCCGACCCGAACGTAATGATTGACAAATCAGGCCCGACCCGACCCGAACGCAATGATTGACATTTCAGGCCCGACCCGAACCTAATGATTGACAAATCAGGCCCGACCCGACCCGAACGCAATTATTGACTTTTCAGGCCCGACCCGACCCAACCCGAACGCAATGTTTGACGTTTTAGGCCCGGCCCGAACGTAATGATTGACAATATAGGCCCGGCCCGACCCGACCCGAACGCACCGACCCGACCCGAAATATCGATATTTCGGGTCGGGCTCGGGCTTCAGATCTTAGCTCTAACTCCTAAGAAGACAGAGTGATCATTAAATTATCTGATTCATATTTAAATATCCGAAACACAACTGAAAACTAACGAATAGAGTTCATAAACGCGAAAACGAGGTAATGTTTACGGCCAAGCGTGAAAATCCGTCTGAGTGGAAAAAGTGTCTGAGCGGATGCGAAAAGGGAGCATTGTTACGTCACTTTTTGCAACTTGTTGATTGGGCAATGTCACGAAGTAAAAAAACAAGGAAGTCGATGCTCGGGGAAAGGTCCATTTCTCTCGTTTTTTCGTTGCAACGTTCCCGATGTGAGAGAGATCGCTGTCACTGGTTAGTTTTTGATCGTCTGCGCGTCTTGGATGACAGTGCGTATAGTTTGAAGGCCCTTATTACGTCACTGTGACGTCGTAGTGACGTAATTTTTGCATGACGCAGTCAGGTGGGGGTTAGGATTGAAATATGCAAAAGTTGTTATGCTATGCAAACTGGAAGTTTCTACTTTAGGTTACAAACTACACGAGACCCGTGAACGTATTCTGACATTGCATTCTTAATTTGGCTTGTATTGTTCAGTTTTACTCACTCTTAAATCTTCTCCAGGTCGTTTTTGATAACCATTAACATTAATTAATTTCACCATGCCAGAGGCCTTCGAATTTGTTGATGTTTTATCTTCAATAAAAACACCCCAGTCTGTAAATGACAAGAAACAACACAAAGATGACCAATTCATTTCTCATGGATCCCAGGAAGAAATTGAGAAAGTTTGTGAAGGTAATCTGAATTGCGTGATATATTCCATCCCATACTCTAACACTCAAAAATTTCGAACTTAAACATAGTTTATTTAGGCGCGGCGGTGTGGCTCTGTGGCTCAACGGGCTAAGCGTTAGGAATACGCTCGCCACCGCACCTCTAATTACTCTCTGCGTGGGTTTGCAGGTTCGAATCCCATGCAGGGATGGTTATGTGCGAGAGGATTGCTGGACTCCTCACCGTCATTGGGTGGTTCACGTAACCGCTGGTCGGTTACGGCTTCCTCCACCACCAAGTCCATGCTTCCGAAAACAAAACAATATGGCGATTGACAATATAACTAATTAGGGGGGCGGTGTGGCTCAACGGGCTAAGCGTTAGGAATACGCTCGCCACCGCACCTCTAATTACTCTGCGTGGGTTCGCAGGTTCGAATCCCATGCAGGGATGGTTATCTGCGAGAGGATTGCTGGACTCCTCGCCGTCGTTGGGTGGTTCACGTAACCGGTGGTCGGTTACGGCTTCCTCCACCACCACCAAGTCCATGCTTCGAAAAAAACGGAACAGTAAAAACTAATCCCATACCCGACTTGGAATGGTCCCCGAACGAGAGGCCGTGTTTCGCCATATGGATAAGCCGTCTTATCGGCTTTCCTGTCCCCCGGGATAAATATGTAAATCCTATCCTATCCCATACCCGACTTGGAATGATAACCGGACGAGAGGCCGTGGTTCGCCATATGGATAAGCTGTGTTATCGGTTTTCCTCTCCCCTGGGATAAATATGTAAATCCTAAAATCGTATGTCATACTGACATATGTGACATTCGAATCTCATGCATCCATGTCTGTATGTGAAGAACTTAGGGTCAGTAGGGGTTTTTCTACTAATACCTAATTCCCTGTACTTTTGTACCGAGATAGCCTATAATCTGATGGTGATTCTAAAGTTCTGCTGTATTTTTTTTTCATCACGTCTTTGCGAAATTACAGGGATCAAACAAAAACAAGTCTTTACACCAGAAGAATGTGAGAAAATTGAACATCATATTGATATAGTTGCCGAAAATGCGGAACAGGGTCTCTATAAAACACACACAGTAGACAGTGCACCACTGCGCATGAAATATTTTTTTGGAGAGGTAATAAAACAATTAAATCTATTAAAATTGTCTTGTAATAAAACAATTAAATCTATCAAAATTGTCTTTTTTTTTCAAAATTTTACCAATTTCTATCATTTATCAGGTAATTCTAATTTCATTTCTAAATGAGTGTATGTTGTTGGATGAGAAAAATCTCATAAACCTATTACTAAGTAAATTGCATAATTATTTGATACAACATTGTATTTTCTCAAGTTATTTTCCAGTTTTATATCAGATCTTTAGTTTCAATATGGCCATTTAAATGAAGATTGGGTTCATAATGTATACATCTCAATTTCTAACTGTGGAATGATCAAAATTATAGAATTTTTTGTAGCTGCATGATAAATTTGTATCCTATATTTCAAAGGGATACACATATGGAACACAAATGCGTCGTAAAGGTCCTGGACAGGAAAAGCTGTATGAAAAAGGGGAAATTGATGCAATACCAGACTGGATATATAAACTTGTCGTGAAGTAAGACATCCTCTGTTTGATCATTTCAGCATTTAGAGATTGGCTTAGTTGTCTTAGAATAACACTGAAATTATTTATTTAAGGCGACTGGAGGATGAAAAATTAATTCCAAAAAATTGGATCACATCCGCTGTCATCAATGATTACCGTCCAGGAGGATGTATCGTTTCACACGTGGATCCAAGGCACATATTTGATAGACCTATCGTAAGGTAAGCTTTCGGTCAACTGTTTTGTGGTTCTCAACCGTTTACCCTTGTGGCCCATTTTCAGCGTCAAAAGAAATTTTACGCCCACAAAACCTTTCATAAAAATTTGGAGTCTCATAAAAATCCTTTCATCAATAAAAAAGTGTCAATGACCAACTGATCATGTACTTCTATGCTTTACCTGAAAAGGGGGTTGAATTTATCTGCATTTGAGAACCAGGGATTATGTCAACTACGGTAATTGCCTCACTTTGCCCACCATTAATATACATAAGTAACCAATATTTTGTTTCAGTGTCTCTTTCTACAGTAAAAGTGCTTTGTCTTTTGGATGTCGATTCTCTTTCAAACCCATCAGAGTCTCCAATCCTGTGGTATGTTTGCCAATGCAACGGGGATGTGCTACAAGTATAAGGTGATGCTGGCCTGTGATTGATTTGGAATCTCAAAACTGAACATCGATTTCATTATTGTAAATGTTTTTTAGTGGGTATGCAGCAGACAAAATTACTCATTGCATTAGACCACAAGACGTGACATCACGAAGAGCAGTGATTATATTGCGCAGGTGAGTTACTAAACTATAGCTTACCTACCATTACCTTTGTTTTTGGTGTGACATGGTTATGATCCCCAAAACACTTAAATATATATCACAGTGAAGTATTCTAGTTCTAGTCACTGCAAACAGAATAAAAATAACTGGAAAGATTCTGAGCAGGGCTGGGAATTTTAGCCGAAACGCTTTGACGTTTAACCAAATAGACCAGTTGGACTGTTGTTGCTTGTTGAAGACTCTGCTTGGCATTTTTTTACAAAAGATATGTCAAGCACTACCTGATTACCTGATTCAGAACCCTCATTAAAGTTATGTAACAAGATTATCATGAAACTATGCTTGAATCACAGACAATATACTCTGATGAGAAACTAAATGCAGACTTCTCATTGCTACATTTCCAGCAGCATAGTTTTTAATTAAAAGCTTGATTGCTTTTTACCAGCGTAGGGAATAAGTAGATTAGAAAGGAATAGATTCCTTTTACGAACAATAATAGCATTAGCTTAGCAAGTAAACACTTACATTTATGAAGAACAATGACCAAAGAGGTTCTCGAGGTTAAGTTTAGTTTCGCTGTTTTTGGTATTCTGGTTACAGTAGTAAATGAATGAAAAATTTTCATTACATGCATGATTGGTTTTATATAGCTATAAATCATACGAAAGGCACAGTCCATAATAGTCCTGGAAGAGAAAAATTGTGTTGTTTAATCCACAAGAGCCGGTTTTCAATTAACTAATTTGTATAGTCGTTTTATATGTTTTCCAAATAGTCGGCCATTTAAGCCCTAAAACTTCACTCATGGCTCTTTAGAAGCGTATGCTGCACATTCTATTTCAGCAATATGATACCGCACATTTTCGAGTTAATACTTCATGTATGTGACCTGATGCCAAATATATTTGTAAAAAATTACTTGGAGATTAAGGACTGCTCGTCATATGTTAATAGCGAAAGGCTTTAGAACTTGGTTTTTGGAAATTTCCGTTATGCAGTAATGTGTGAATGCTTATTGTGAATTTGTGATCCATTATGTCAGGGTAAATTGACAGGTACTTTTGCAACAAATTTAAGAATGTAATAATATATTGATTTTCAAATGGAAAATTATCTTATAATTTTTCTGTTTCCGTGCTAAAGTGACCTGTCGTGAATGAACATATGAGGTTTATTGTTTTTACTGCTTTCCATTGGTGCTGAATGATAAAACAGCTGTTATATTATATGAAATAAAACTGATTAAATTTGGTATTTATTTTCTAGAACACTTGAAAATGCTCCTAGAGTAGGAGATCCAGATCCTCCCCATGATTTATCATACTCTAACCATTTTCTCAATCATTCTGACAACAGAAAAAGGTAAACTCAATCTTTTGCATAAGTAGTAGTGGAGTATACTGCTTTCCAATCTTTCATTATAGCTTGATGTTTGATGCCCTCCCCTATTTGCTAATTTTTAACTGACCTTCTGAATTATAAAATTACAATGAAAAATGTATTGAAGTGTTGAAAAATCATAACAGTTCATTCGATGTTGGTGATTTGCAATCTACTGTTAGCCCTGTTTTCTTAAAACCTAAATAAAAGGATGGTAGATTATTTTGGCATTGTTGAAACCTTCAGCATTGTAATAGTATAAACAGTTTCATATATTCACATGAAATCAGTTTTTGATCATTTTGTATATGGCTTGTATTTGGTATTATCACCTTCTTCGGATCTACTTATCTTAATAACTAGTCTTATAGTTCTTGTATTGAAAGGATTTGTAATTTTTCAGACAAAGGCTGTCATTAGACTCATCCACACATCATCATAATGGCAGAGATAGACATGGTCATAATGATGCCGTTGAACCAGTTAAGAGACGAAGGAAAAGTGACTCTTATTCATCACATCACATGGAAAAGAAAAGGCTTTCTGTTTCGAACTCACAGGATAAGGTAACTACACCTCAAAAAGTATCCTTTGGAGCAAATGATTTTGATATATTTACAGAGATGTAACATCGAAGTAATATATGTAACAATATGCATAGAGATAGTATATGTAAGGAATGGCAGAAACACTGGACCAGGTAAAGAACGTTCACAAGTTCAACACTGATTGGCAATTTTAGTTTCAACGTTATCAAGTTGAATAATAATCATTATTCCATTTACTCATTAGGTCAAGAAGGATGATGGACACAAAGATTCTTCAGATTTGAAAACAAGTCAAAATATTATTGCGAAAAAGGCAACAAGGAGACCTAAACCATTTTTTCTATAGTCTTGGATGTTGTCAATGTGTATAATACAATTAACCAATATATTGTAATTTTTTCACCAGCAATAATTGTAAAAAGCAGGTTCCAGAAGTTATAAATTATTCTGTATATGCTTATGCGCAAGCATTTTATCTTTCAATTTAATCTCATTTGATTTTACTTCTATTCACTTTCTTTTTGTGCAAGTTCTGTACAATTTTCAAGTAAACTTTCAAAACAATAATACACTCATATAAAATATGTTGTTACAATTGTTTTTGAATCTCCCATATTTCTAATTGTTGAGTCTGATTGTATTGGCAGAACTGACTTATGTCTTCCATATCAATTCTTTGGACAGACAATGAAGATTGAAATGTATTCTCGAGTTCGCTCAGTTTGCATAAAAAATGATTGTACTCTTTGCAAGTGATATCCAAGTCCTCCAAAGTGAAGTTGAGTCTCTTCTCTGTAGAGATGTACACTTTTACAATTGAAGGTCGGCAACCTTCCTTGGTGTATGTGTCCCCATTCAGCAAGATTTGGAGAGTTTGAAAAAACGCATTTGTGATATCGTTGTCATAAATTACATCACATGCCATAATTATGTCAGGTTTGGGTATGCACAGTGATTTTATTGAAGTGGGCTTGTGCCAGTTCAGTTCCCTAATTTCGAAGCAGTGGGGAGGACTTTGCAAGATGTTTTGGTTTGCGTGATAATTCATTTCACAGAGACCCAAAATGTTCTCTCCAACGTCCGTGAGAGTGATTTTATTGGTTAATGTCCCTGCAACAATACCAGTCAGGCCAACGCCTGCCCCAAGTTCCAAAATCTGTTTATTGCGGAATAACTGAACGTTGTCTAACATGAAATCTATCATCCCAAGCGCTCCCATCCATACTTGTAAGCCAACGTCGGCAAGATGTGTTTCCATTGCATGGTGTATACGAAAATTGAGCGTTTGGTTCTGCTTGTCAAAGTTAGCTGCGCTTCTAGAAACAATCAAATCGCCGTCATCGTCATGGATCGAATCAGTTATTCCGAAAGATTTTTCAGTTCGCTCACTAACAATCTGTATCAAGCATCCAGGTAATTTTATGTGAAAATCGACAAGGTGGATTGCATATTCACCATGTTTCTTATTCAAAACTATTTGGGAATCTTTATCTCGATTTAACTGGACGTCGGAGAGTATCAACTCGTCCGCACAAGCGCACATCTTGCTTCTGTCACTCGGTGGTTCACAAAGCTGGTCTACGATTTCGCACTCGTGCAGAGCTGAAATCAGCTTTTCGCCCGATTTGCAGCTGCTGCTCTGATTAACAAAGTGATTTTCTGCGTACTGTTGCTTTCAGTATTATTATTGGGGAAGCCAGGCTATGGAGCATAATATGTTAGAACAGCTTGGATTTAACAGGAAGAACAGAGATGCTGTAAGTAAAGCCCTGGGTGGCTGGAACACGAGCGGCAATAACCAACAAGATATCAGACCCCTAGTTGAAATTATTGTACTGCAAGCAATTTCAGATGTAAAATATGGAAGTAATGCTGCAAAACTGTGCAGCATATTTGTAGAAAATGAAGGCAAAATATCAAATGATACACGATTTCGGAACATTTTGCTCACAAAACTCCAAAGAGAGTACACCAACATCAGAACGACTGAAGAACATAATGAAGCCAGATTGATAGCATTTGTGACCTTTTTGAGTAGCATTTTTCACCACATCCGTATTGATGGGAGGGCACTTGTTGCTTTAGTAACTCCAGTGTTCGGAGTGTTTGGCTTCTTTGGCAAGCGTGGCGAAGCAGAGCAATAAAAGAGAGGAAATTATTCAATGTTTGGTTATGCAAATACAACTTCATGGAGAGGAATTGGAAGGATTGAATGAGAAGAAAATGGCTGAACTATTTTGTATAATTCGCGAATTGTTTTTGTCAGAAACCACATCACAGCTTTCAAGATTGCTGCTGCTTGAAATTATTGAACTTCGAGCTGGAAACTGGAAATTGTCTTCTGATGCTAATACGTATTATTATGATACAAACAGTGTCTAATGTTATTATGCTTTATTTTTATATACGATTCTCAATGATACCTTATTTTTTTATGTTATTTCATTTAAACAAAATAATATATACCTATATTACATAAATAATTATACATAATCATAGTATCATTCAATTGCATACATTTTCATATTTATGTTGGGAGAATTAATTGATACTAACCGGTTATTATTTTTATAATTTCTGGTATCAAGGTACAAGATATTTAATTCATATAAGCTATGGCAGAACTCAATATTGGTAAACAATGCAGTTTACTTCAATGTCAGCGACTTGATTTCCTACCATTTGAATGTGATGGATGCTCTCAGATATTTTGTTTGGATCACAAGGGTAGAACTGCACATAGCTGTTCAGATGTCAACTATATTAAAGAAGGTTCCTCATTGACTAGAGTTACTCCCCTTCGTTCTTATAGTTGTTCACTTGAGGAATGCAATCAGAGCGATCTCGTACAAGTGGAATGTAATCTCTGTGGGAAGCATTTCTGTTTGAAGCATCGCCTTCCAGAGGATCATAAATGTCATCAATTAAAATCTGAACCACATCGAAAAGCTGGTATGCAAACATTTCAAACTTCTTCTACTAATCCAAAAAAGTCTGTATGTGATAATTCCAAAAAGAAGTCTGTTAGTAAGAAGAATCAAAAACTGTCTGCTAAGGTTGCTCTTATGAAACTGAAACAAAAGTCTGTTGGAGATAAAAATATTCCAATGGAAAAGAGAATATATTTCCATGTTTACACACCCAAAGGAGAGAGGTATATATTTGTGGATGGTGAATGGACATTTGGCAAGCTTATTGATTATCTTTGCAAAACTGAAAAAATTATTAATACGAATAACGTTTCTTTAGAAAATAGACTTGGTCTGCTTAATATGGACACCGAACAATCATTACCATTTTCTTCTACTATCAATGATGCAATAAGCCATGAAATAATATATTCTGGTTCTAGTTTAAAATTTCTAAGTGTGGAAAAATCATCATAACATTTGTTTCCTTTCTGAAACTTCTTGATTTGTAGATTTTGCGCATATGGTAAAAATATATTGCAGACTTTGCAGTGCCGACTGAAAGTGGCACCTATTGTGATTTTTTTAAAGATCATTTGATCTAAATCAATGAATGTAGTTTCTTTCAGGATTTCAAAATGGAAATTAATGATGCAGAAAATATGAGTAACTGCCTTTCAAAGTAAAATAATCTCAATTCAGCCCAATGTATTTGAAATCTTCCTAGCTCCCTACAATTACCCCAGGGGCGCAGCCAGCTAAAAATTGTGCATCGTTCTAGAGTTAGCATCCCTTTATTATTTATTTATTTATATTTATTATTTATTTATTAGCGTTTATTACTAATAATCACTGATTGTTTTTGTAATCGCGATCGTTTTGGGGGCCGACATCCCAATTAATGTATTAAAGCACTTTTTATATTTATAAGTTTTATTTCTCACGCAACGGCGGTCATCGAAGTTTGGTTTTTACATTTCGGGCAGAAGTGTTCAGATAATAGAGTAAATTCATAACACATAATGAGACGTTCTTCTGATATTTATCTTCTGCGTAGGATTTGAAATTACGGTCCCGATTTTAAGCGAACAATAGTATCATTTCTAACTCCGGGATGCAGATATTTATGAAGCTCAGAGTCGACATTTTTCTGCTTTTAATTTTCTATCGTTTCCGTGTTACTTTCGTATTGAATAATGATTAAAAACTCCGCAAATTAGTAACAGCGTGAATAATCAGTGTTGAATATTCACCCAACTCAGTATACTAAATACTAAAATACATCGGCAATAATGGAAAATGTACGTGGTCGAGATGATATTTTCCTCTAAAAATCTCGCGAAATTTTCATAAAATAAATTACATTATTTACCTGTCTTACTTTATCTGGTTTGACATTTTTAAACTTACAGAACGGATTAGGAATTGAAAAGATACAATAAGAAAGAGAACAAATAACACCATAGTTCATAACACTAAAGATTTCTTACATTTTTGTCTGTTTGCGAGAGCCGTAAATTCTTACTCGCAACTCTTACTTTCAAATTAATGTTAATAAGGTCTATTTTGCTTTTCAATGCGACTACGCTGGCTGTATTCCCTGCCCCATACCATCCTATGACTCACAAAAAATAAAGTCAAAAGCCCACAGGAGAATTGTTGGGGTACCTTAAAATCTAAATAACGACAATCTTTTTTTCACACCCCATTCGTGAAATAATTTGTCAAAATTGGGTGTATTGCACTTTTGCTGCTAAAATCCACATCTCTTACATTCATCAGTGATTGGTACTGAAAATGGTGTTTTTGTCTCAGTATATCATCTCACCTAAAATCCCCTGGAGTTAGAATTTTAATTTGAAACTGATGAAGCATGCAAAAGTCACAGTTTATCAGTCAAATTTTATTATCCGATAGTCCCATTTTTTATTGGCTGGGAGTCGGTTAAAACATTTCCGCATATATACTGCCCTGGAGTTGAAAAGATATATTCCAATTTTACCAGATTTCTTATTGGGTTGAGGCAAGGCTTTTTGTGGACGTATTAATGTATTGGATTTCTCTATGCGCTGAATGAAACGCTCTACGATTGGTGTGTCGCTATCGCAGCGACCGCGGGTACGAAAGCCACAGTGACGATACGAGTTGTGGAGTCATGCCGCGCAGTAATCATTAACGTATTCCTGGGTATGTACATTCAAATACTTTTGTAAAAATGTCATGGTACGCAAGCTATAGCAGAAATAAGTGGACGTCAATAACTTGCAAATATATCTGAATGAAAATGTACGTCGTACAGATAGATAGATTTTATTTATTTCGATTCCTTCGCAAAAATAAAACAATACACACACAAAAGATATTGAGGCGAAAAATGTGGGAAGTGAACTTAACTTAAAAAAATAAACAAAAACGAGTTCATCTATCGAATGAAAAGAAAATAAACCTATATATATATATGAATATATATAGCCGGTGGGTCACGATTCGAAACAATGATTGAAATTCTAAACAGCCGTTGTGCATGTAAACAATGAATTAGATGTTTACAAACAAAAGTTTCTAAATTAAAATGTGCAAGCACATGACAGCGTTTCGTGCCTTAAAATTCAAAATACTAGCGGTATCTGGTGATTATCATGGTATCGACTAAACGTCCACACAAAAATCGATTGTAAGTTCTCGAATAATACGTTCAGGCAGACGTAGGTATGAGTTTATTTGACTCCGTAATCAGCATAGCAGACGATAAAAAATTGATATAAACAATACTGGTTACAGAATCAGGAAAACAAACAAAACCCTAAGTACGGCTTGAGCTTGAAAGGCGTGGTTTGAAGTTTTTTGTATAATTCAGTTCCATCCATATATAAGCCTCCAAGATATCATTTGAATGTATCTTCAGGCTTGCATGCAGTGGTGAGTAGTGCATTAAAAATATAGTAGCCTACTCTCGAAGTATGTGAACCAAGATGGCGGACATCAGAACGTATTATGTGAACCAGGTTAGAGTTAGGCCGTAATTTTATTCCAATTTTCCTTATTTTAGTGCTATTACGAGTTCGGGAACAAGCCAAGTAACTCCCGTAGTATTTGTATCTGAAATTATGGCCCAACCCTAATCCGGTGCACGTACTACGTTCCGGTGTCCGCCATCTTGGTTCACACCCTTCGGGAGTACCAAAAATATTTTCTAACCCAGTTGTATTAATTCTGTCTGTGATTCACTTGTACTCAAATCTTCGGCTCGAATCAGCCGCACTCGCAGTAAATTGAACTATGTATATACATCAATACATGTCTAAATATATATCTGCATAATTCCCGAAATGCCTACAATAGGATCGCTGAGCCTAGACCAGTAATGTAACAAGAATAGGCATTCCTATTCTTTCTGCAGCATCCTTGTATTATACGTAAGTCACTCCACTAGCGCGAAGGCGATAGGCAGTAAATCTTGCGCAATGCACCAGGAATTGCCATGTATGATTATAGAACCCGTGGCGCCCATACGAAACTGATAGAAACATATTTACAATCTTAACAACATCTACCAATATCGCACTTTTCATCTAAAATAGTGGTTTTTAACCTTAGCGAGCCTGCCAAACCTCTACCTATACGTAACTGCGAGAACTGTCTGTCGAATACCAATGTTTTGAACAGTTAAAACCAGGAGCGCAAACAGAACTTTATAAGGGAAAATCTAATTTTGTACAATGTTTTAGAAAATGCACCCGTCTTCAATTTTAGGGTTATTTATAACGGGCATGCAATATTAAAAGGGGTATCCACCACCAACTCTATGAGTGCACCACTGGATATAGCAGCATAAATTAAAACAACAGGTATCGTTCATGTTTGACATATTTCACAAAAAACTCCTCTGAATTGCAAAGATTGTTTCGGACAAACTTGGAACCACCACGATCATGGTAGTGTAACCTTAGATACCAAACGCCTTGCCTAAATAACCTTGGATGTGCCACAATAGCGTCTGCGATAGGAGACAAATTGGTAGAAAAATAAGTGTGCGACTGAAAAAGGGGAACCCTCCCAAGGCAAAAATTGCAACTTTTAGAATCCGAGCGGTTTTAATGGTGTATTAAAAGCGTTGAGAGTCCAAGCCATTCACATCCCATAATCCAAATAACAAGCAGGTGCGGATATAAAGATTGAAAGAAATAATGATACCGTACGACTCCGTCTTCCAGGGCGGGTGATGATATTTTAAGCAAACTTCTGCAACAAACTATTCCAATTCTACAACAAATACGCCCAAATTCCATGTTCGTTTGTATACACTTACTTCGGATTTTCAACTTGTGAATAAATGTAAGCGACATTTTACTGGTAGATAACAAATTTAAACATTGACGCAAATATTCAACCTAAATCTCTAAGGTTTAAACCACCGAAGATAAGATAAGCGGAAAGCGTTTTAACGATGAACTGAGATATAAGCTATACCCGTCATTGAAAGTTCCAATAAAATCTAAACTTCAAATTTTGGATATCCTCGGTGAAATATATATTGTAATTATTATACATAAGTAAAAGGCTGGGTAATGGAAAGACCTCATGGTGTAAAAGTATTGCAGACGACATTCGTCGAACCCCTAGAACAGCTCAGCCGAACTCCATGGATTCGCTCGAACCCAGGTTAGGAAATTAATCTAAACCAGGGGTCACCAACCTTTTCGAAGCCGAGGGCTACTTTTTGGGTACAGATTAAGCTGCGGGCTACCAGTTCAATGTATACTTCTAAAAAAATCAGTTGCTCGATTAAGCTTCAATTATTGATATAATTACTGGTATTTAGTGAAGTATAGACACTAATAAATTGTATTTCAAAACTGAGTGTTTTCAAATTGATTTTCAACACTCTGCACAAGTCTAAGATAAAATGGACTTAACGGTTGTACTATCGAATGTTGCAGAGTATTATACTCCGACGTGTAACTTGACACTGTAACTCTGAGCGAGTCTTGCAGATTTTCATCAGGGAGGCGTGTTCCATGTTTGTTCCTGGTGGAGTGAGTCGCGGCGCTATGGCCCATCGTGTTAAGCGTTAGGTTCGCAGGTTAGAATCCCATGCGGGGATTGTTATGTGCAAAAGGATTGCTGGACTCCTCGCCGCCGTAGGGTGGTTCACGTAACCGCTGGTCGGTTAAGGCTTCCTTCGCCATCAAGTTCAGGCTTCCGGAAACAAATAACTAACTAATTCCATACCCGACATCGAATGGTAACCGGCGAGAAGCCGTGGTTTATCATATGGTTAAGCCGTCCTATCGGCTATCTCCTCCCCAGGGATAAATATGTAAATCTCCTATCCTGAATTTATGTCAAAAATGTTGATTCGAAAGGATAGGTTGAAACAAACGATGGTCTCGTAAAATAGGATTACTGTATGATTTGAATCGTGAGATTTTTTCTGTCCGTACTGTGCTGACCAGTGGGTAGTTAGCGCGGAAGATTACGTGACAAGATGTGAAATATCTCTCCGCTTTGCCGTCGCTAAAATCGGCCCACTAATGAGACACACGCAGGCTGTTTTTCATGGTGGTATAAATATATCCACCTCCCATTCATCGTGAAAATGATGGATTTTTCTTTGGAATCAATAATTGTATTATTACTGCTCCGCTAACCAACGGACAAGAAAAAGCGCGGGTTCGTGGAAAGTGATCTCAGTGTGATGTCATAATTGGAAGAGTGTTAATTGACCCGTCACATTACTGAGGTCAAATAAAAATAAGGTTGATGGTTACAATTACAATAATTAATATAGTGCCATTTCTAGTTCCCATATAAGTGTGATTTATACTAAAATAGCAGGACAAAATATAATTGATGTAGCTTACTTAAAAGAGCCTTTATTAAGCTTAGTTTGGAACAGACCTGTGGGCGACTAATATGGTCTTCGCGGGCGACTTGGTGCCCGCGGGCAACGCGTTGGTGACCCCTGATCTAAACATTCTGCGATGAAAATCCCAGATCAGCATCATCAAATATTTAGATGGAGAGTATTCGCAGTGCAATGGACTACTGAGCAGTTCTGACTTGGTTTGGATATATATAAGATCCAAAATTTTGCAATAGTTAGGAAAAGGAAAAAATTTTCTGCAGTCGGGGGAACGTCCATATTTCTGTAAGATGATATTCATGACGTCAATATCGATGCTTCAGTTTTAGCTTAATTTGATCGGGAAAGAAAGAAGAGAAAGAGAAAAATCTTTTATATACGAGTCAGCTAAATGTGACGTTGTTGAGTCTCGTGAATCGTGATGATCCAGAATGCCCGAAAAGAAAATTTGCTGAAATATGCCTACCCAAGTCAAACATAGCCCTAACAAGATATCAATTCAACTGTGGGAGCACGGAT